CACACACACACACACACACACACACACACAGAGAAACACACGCACAGACGCACACAAATTTTTACATTATTTTACCTTTTTCTTCAGAAAAATGACTGAGTCTTTCCGTAAAGCTCTCCTGGAGGTGGCCTTCCATGTTTCTCAAGACAACCATATTGTGTCGGAGGTGAGACTTGTATATGTGAGGCACAGTGGTGAAATCAGGTGCTTGTCAAAATAGTGAAAGTGAAGAAACTGGCACTATTTCGTTGGTTTGGCATTTTTTGTCAAAATTTTATTTTTTTGGCTCAACATCTTGTAAGTTCATTTAAGAACTCATTTCAGTGTGAATTATATTGAAAAACACTGATTAAAGGCACAAAATATATGTAAATTGTTAGTTTCCACGGACTCTGAGTCTTTGTAAATAACCAAACTTTGGCATCCATTTTCTCCCTAATTTTACCTCTGAAATCAGGTGACCCCCACCTCGTTCTAATGCAAATATTTTGACGTGTACTCAAGATAAATGGGCAATTCTTTAATTGAGAGCAAGGCAAATGAACAAGCTTTAATGCAATACCAATAACTCCACATGCCCAAAAATTGACGAGCGCCTGTTTCCACAGTGTTTTGACACATATGTATATGGGAGGGGGTTGGTCATGAGAAGACATGCGGTCAATATATTGGCGCACCTGTGTGTGCACATGCCTGTAGATGTGACCGTATGTGCATGTATACAGTGGTATAATGATGGGTTGGGTTTGTATAGTGCATGGCACTCTCTAGAAAACCAGCTTTATGTGCTGTACAATATATTTTTTCCCAAACAGGCTTGATAACATTCCAGAACAATTTTTGTTTTCAGAGGTGTGTCAATGCAAGCTGAAGTTTTACAAATGCTCAAACTTGAGCACACTTACTGTACAAAATATTTCGCGATCTTAGTTTTGCTTTTTCCAAGTTCAAAGTGACTGTTGTTGTGTCAATATGTTTCTCTCTACTGAAAAACTAATTAATTAACACTACTGTGTCGAAATACTTCTGTTTACTACAATGTAAATGCCCCATTATTGTGTCAAAATACTTCTCTTCTCTCAAAACTAAAAACCGGTTATTATGTTGCAAATGCTTCTCTTCACTCAAAAGTGAATAACCATTATCGTGTAAAAATCTTTCTTTTACTCAATCAATTGTAAATTACCATTACTGTATCAAAATGCTTGTCTTTACTTTACTCCGAAGGAAATGACAATTATTTTGTCAAAATGCTTCTCTGTACTCTAAAGTAAAAGTCTGCTATTGTGTCAAACTGCTCCTCTTTAATTAAAACTGAATAAAATATTAACGTCCCACCTTCCCAGTGGGTGGTTAGCAGGTACTCTGGTGTGGTTTGCTTCTTCTTTCCTATGAAACATCTATCGTCCTTATCTCCCCCTTTTTCTTTTCTATGTTTGTTACTCTCTTGTAACACCTCTAATCTTCTGGTGCTCATATGACCTTATGCAGTTGCAAGCGTCGTAAACCCTCTACTAAAACTAAAAATCCGCCTTCCCAGATGTCCCAGCTGAGCGAGTGTGACCAGCATGGAGTTGTCCGCATGTTGTCTCGTAGTCTGCCTCACATCGTACCCAACGTCCTGCTGGCTAAAAGGGAGGTAAGTCATCTACCTAAAGATCATGATTGTTTCCAGCCCACACCAGTTACGGGGGCTCCCGTGGTCTAGAGGGTAAGGTGTTCGTCTCATTCAATAGGTCACGGGCTCGAATTTAGATGGCGACGGAAAATTTTCTTCTCTAAAATTATCTCCTTTCACATCCTTCCTGCTCTTTAACAATGTTCTGTTGTTTGCTTTTCGTCTCCACTTTCTGCTTTCCCTGTGCTCTCTGTGACTATATTACACTCTTACTATTACAGTCTCCCTATACCGTCAGGTACATAAGGTGGAGAGCAGTCGATACCACGCTTGCCTGTCCCGGACTGGGTTCTCGAATCTCAGCACATCCAGGCCTTGGGTGATTGCCTCATCCCTTATTGTGCCTCTCGAGGACTATTTTACAGCTCAGTCATAATTGTAATCTTCTGCTTTACTTTTAGATGACCTGGTTGAGTCAATTTGTAACTTCACTTCACTTTTGTTGTGTATCTGTGACCGCTGTCTGCCTCACTTCGTACCCAATGTCTTGCAGGCCAAGAGAGTGGTTTGTCATATACGTATAAATAGTTTTTTTCCCCGTTAACCCTTTGTTGTTGTTATAGATCCGGCAGTTAACCCTTTCATCTATTTAATTTCTTCTCCCTCCCAGGAGCTCATCCCAGTGATCCTGTGTGCGGCCATGTTACACCCAGAGCCCAAGCAGAGAGACCAGCTCCTCAACATTCTCTTTAACCTTATCAAAAAACCTGATGATGAGCAGAGGTGAATAGCTTGTGTTGTTGTCATTGTGGCTATCGTTGTCTTTATCGTTGCTTCTCATCATTATCATCGTCATTGTCACTGTTGTCCTCACCATTGTCATTTTCCTCATCCTCATCCTCCTCTTCCTTCTTTTCCTCCTCCTCATCTCATCATCATCATCATCATCATCATCATCATCATCTTCATCATCATCATCATCATCATCATCATCATCATCATCATCATCATCATCATCTTCATCAGCATCTGATCCAATGTTATCCTTATCTCCCCCAAAGCCAAAAGGGAGCCTGGAGGACCTGTGGCGAACAACAGCCTTTGCACTAGAGACTGAGATATCTATTTAAAAATGAATGAAAAGAAGAAGAAGACCCGTATCTGATTTAAAGTTATCTTATTCGTTCTGATCTGATCTTCTCCTTGTCTGATCAAATCTAATCCTTTATTAGGTCCTAGCTCTTATCCGTAATGTGATCTTATGTACATTTTGATCTGATGTTATTCTTATCTGATCTGGTCTTGTTCTTATTTAATCTGAATATTTTCCTCATCTGGCTGGATTTGATTTTAGCTTGATCTTATCCGGGCTATTCTGTATATTTAACCTTATATTCTCTGTCTTAATCTTTTGATTCTGTGTAGGTCTTACTTCTTTTTCTTCTGTCTGTTGTTTTGTCTGTCTGTCTTGCTTCTTCCCTGTGGGTGTTTGGCGTATGCTCCTGTGTGGTTTGCTCCTTCTTTCCTATAAAAAATCTATAGGTGTTCTGTATTTCCCCTCTTTCTTTTTTATGTTTGTTACTCTCTTGTAGCACCTCTATTCTTCGTGAGTGGTTGGCGGGTGCTCTGGTGTGGTTTGCTTCTTCTTTCCTATCAAACGTCTATCGTCCTTATCTCCCCTTCTTCTTTTTTATGTTTGTTACTTTCTAGTAACACCTCTAATCTTCTGGCGCTCATATGACCTTATGCAGTTGTAAGTGGCGTAAAACCTTTACTAAAAGTAAAGTAACTCTATTCTTCGGCACTTATATGACCAAATTGTGTTGCAAGTGCCGTAAAACTCTTACTAAAACTAGAAACTTGCTTTTTCCCTGCACTACATGACCGTTATCATATCGATATGCTTCTGTTTACTCAAAATCAATGTCAAATGCGGTGTGATTACTAACATTTTGTTCTCCCCGTCTGTGTGCAGGCAAGTGATTTTGACGGGCTGTGTGGTGTTTGCTGAGCATGCAGGGGCTGACAGACTGGTGGAGGAGTTGTTGCCTCAGTGTTGGGAACAGGTGAGTGTGTGTGTGTGTGTGTATATGTGTGTGTGTGTGTGTGTATGTGTGTGTGTGTATACATCTGTGTGTGTGTTTGTGTGTGTGTGTCTGTGTGTGTATGTGTATGTATGTGTATACATCTGTGTGTGTGTGTGTGTATACATCTGTGTGTGTGTGTGTGTGTGTTTGTGTGTGTGTGTGTGTATAAGAGTGCGTGCGCGCGTGCATGCCCATGTGTGCGCTTGCGTGTGTGTTTCCTTTCAAACTGACCACAAGTACATAGATGTTACGGAAGCACAGACTTTTTAAAAAAGATCTGAATAAGTGAAAATGCCCATGTCTTTCTATTTAAGCTTGGTGTTGATATCTCTATATTTTGGGAAAATACAAACACTTTGAAATGAGGAAATTTGAACAAACATGAGAGCTTAGAAAGCTCTTTTTTCAAATTTTTTGACTAAACATGAGTCTGTTAGATATTCTGTTTTCATATGAGACAGCAGAGCACATTCTTATAAATGCTGTAACTTAGAACTTTTTCCTTTCAGATCGGCCACAAGTATGTAGAGCGTCGACTTCTGGTGGCTGAGGCATGTGGAGCCCTCGCGAGTTACCTCCCTGTAAGTTATTTTTTAAATAATATGCTTTTGTTGTGAATTTCTAATTTTTTGGGTGGATATCTCACCTTTTCTTGTTGTAAGGAAAGACAGGAAAGATAGAATGCTGCTTGATGGTTCACTCCAAAAAATAATGTTCTCTATAATTAGCGTTCATATTTTGTAGATGTCACCACCGTTATTGAAAAACATTTTTGCTTTGTTCTCAAGTAAAAGCTCTTTTAGAATAATCTATGCTCCTCCTACTCTTTCTGTACGAGATTCATCACCCACTAATATAGTACCAAGTTCACTGTAAGATAGCTGTCACCTCTACCAGCTATGAAGACAAATTTTTTAATGTTTCAAATAGAGGAGTGAATCACCTTGTCGTGCACAGGCTAAATGGTCTTGGCGTGTACAATCTTTGTTGTAGCTGTCCCAGGATAAAGGAAAAGACTTTCATACTGCTGGCTTAATCACTACAATAGTTTGACATTAGCAGCAACTACAACAACTACAATAAAGAGAAACAAGGCAACAACAATAGCAAAGTCAGTAATGATACTCACAATAATTACAACCCTCTCCGTCCTGTTGTAACTCTACTACTTGATTCCTTTCTCACATCCCCTTCACCTTGTTCTTCTCCCTTCCCTCACCTCCCCCATGCCCCACCTCCTCATATCTGCCAGTTATGAGGACACGTTTTTAGTGTATCAAATAGAGGGGTGAACCACCTTGTCGTGTTCAATCTTTGTTGTAGCTGTCATAGGTTAAAGGTAAAGACTCTCATACTTCTGCTTTAGTCACTACATTAGTCTGACAGTAACAGCAACAACAACAACAAGTACGATATCAGCAACAAAACAAACAACAATAACGGCAATGGCAGTAACAACACTCCCAATAACAACTACAACCCTCTTATTCTATTTACAACTCTAATACTTGATTCCTTTCTCACGTCCCCTTCACCTTGTTCTTCTCCCTCCTCTCCCTCCCCCTCCCTCCTCCCCTCCCATCTCCCCTCCCCTCTCCCCCCCTCC